GCGAGATCGAGTTTTACACGAAGAAATGAAGTTTAAACACATCATGGAGATCGTTCAGGTTTCGAACTAAACTTCAATAAACTCATGGTCGGCTAGACCAAGCTATTCAAGCTGAGCTCGATTCGATTAAACCTCGTCTAAGGGTGACTCCACTTAACAAACGTTTAAGTTTTCGAACCAAGTTCTAAAAAACCTCACTAAATGACCCGAGTTTTGTGGAGACGTCAAAGTTATCTTCATTGAGAAGATAAATACTCCATTAATGTGGGCTTTAATCAACCAATAAGGCATACTGATACAGTCCCATAGCCCCCAGGAATGCAAATCACAGTTACCAGAAACAAGAGCAAGTGGAGGAAGACAAAGACCTAATTAGGTAACTAGTGGACTGACAGGATTGTTCATGGGTTGACAAAATAAAACGTCACCCACTATAGCCCCAAGGTTAGTCAGGATGGTTGATGGGTTTGCTCCCTATACAATTGATTAGAGTTCGATTCTTGGGGTAGATGAATCCCGTAGGCCGTAGTCTTGGCGTAGATGACCTACCTTCGACAGGACTAGAGAGGAGATTAGTAGGGTTGCGCGTAAACTAGCCCGGACACCTTGATCGTCGGGAAAAAATGGGTCACCAACTATTGCCCTTACAATCAGCAGAGATAAGTGAACTGGTGGACTCTCCACTTATCATTTGTCGCCTTTCTAAAGATTTCTAACCCCTTTTCTGTAGCTTTTTCTACTTCTGTTTCACCTACTAAGGTACATTTATACTAATGATCAAAAAAAAAAGAAGGTACATTTATACTAAATATAGAATAATCTGGAAAAGGAAAAATCGATGAAGATCGCAATTCCTTGGACTTTGTGCTCCCGCAAAATTCATGCTTCGAATACGCGTGATTAATAAGTTGGGGAGTTTTCTTTTCGCTTAACGAGACCTGTATATAAGTGTAATTCATTCCTGCAAAAGACCATCTTAACTGGTAGGCGACTTGACAAAACAGCTTAACTTAAGAGTTCGTTTTTCCATACCCGGTCGCAGAGTCAAACTAACTTACAGTAGTAATCTTGTAATCTATAAAAACGTCGTGTGGGAGAGAGCTTCTGATGTAGGACAAAAATGAAGAGTTTTTGTATTTTATTTTTATTGTTTTAGAATAAGATTTTGACTAGAAATATTTTCGTTTAGGTCAGAATTATTAACTTTTCGTATTCGGTTTTATTTTGAATTCTACTTTTATTAGGATTTTTGGTCTACAAGAATTAGGATTTTATTTTAATTAATTAGAAAATATCTTTTCTTTAATGCCGCTTGTTTTGGCATGATTTAGGATTTCTAGGGTTAGGGTTTTATAAAGAGGAATGTAACTTATACAATTATGGAGCTTTTAGCAATAATATTGCAGAGATTCTCTTTTTTTTTCTTGTGTGCAAGATTTGCTCATTGTGACGAGTTGTTTATCTCATTTGGACTAGTACGCTAACTAGTCTCTTGTGAATTCTGCTGCGTCAAGTGGTATCAGAGCCACGTTTTTCCTGCTTTGATGACACCAAACACGGTTGAAGACACACCCATTGCCGTTGGTTGTGGGGAAGGATTTAACAGAACTCGCACCAAGGGATTTGCCCATGGTTAATCTGTTAAACACAAAGTTGATAGGAACGGCGTTGGGAGATTTGCCCACAACCAACCTATTAACCAAAACGACTCCGAAAGATATTCTTATTATCAACTTGATAGTGAGGATGAATCTGAAGCCGAGTTATTTGAGGATTATTATGGATATCAGTCAAAGAAGCAACATTCAAGGTTTGAAGGGTTTTATCACACAAATGACAACTTTTCAACTTTTCAGGTACAACCAATAATTCCTAATTTTAATGGATATTGCCATCCTGAGAATTTAATTTATTGGTTTCGTAAAGTTGACAAGTTTCTTGAGTATTTGGGAATTTCAGAAGAAAAGGAAGTTAAATATGTGACGCGTAAATTATATGGCTACGCGAAGAGGAGGGAGATCGGGTTGAACTTGGTGACGAAGAGGAAGCTGGTGATGAAGAAGAAGTTGGTGGCGAAGAGGAATGTTTGAGTGCCCCTATGCTCGAACATCAGTTTGATTTAGATGGAGGTGCAACCAATAAGGTAATTGCAAGCAAGGATGAAAATATCGCAACATTGTATCAAGTACAAGAACCAAAGGGAGAGGAAAGTCATAAATCGGGGCCTATATTAATTTCTCAACATCATGATGTCTTCCCCAATATTGAGCCTTGTGAGCCACTCGAAAGTATGACTGGTCCTAATGGTGAATTCGGTACAAGATCTCTTAATGCTACATCATTCATACTTGATGTACCAATTAATTCGGTGATGGATCAACATAAAGAGAAACTGGAATTTTAGCATGACGTTCAATTTATTGATTTTCTTGGGTTGGAGCAGTTTGAGTTTTCCCTCAATTCTTGTATTATGGAAATTGTCAATCAATTGAAGTGTGCAGGAAAACTATCTTGGCGAGTGTACTTTTATTGGAAGATGAGCGAGAAGTTGAAATATTCCAAATATCTATTTCTTTGGAAGGGAATGTGGCAAGTTTCTAATGAGAACTCGAGGGCGAGTTCTTTTAAAAAAAAAGGAGACTGATGTAGAACAAAAATGGAGAGTTTTTGTATTTTATTTTTATTGTTTTAGAATAAAATTTTGACTAGGAATATTTTCGTTTAAGTTAGAATTATTAACTTTTCGTATTCGGTTTGATTTTGAATTCTACTTTTATTAGGATTATTGGTCTACAAGAATTAGGATTTTATTTTAATTAATTAGGAAATACTTTTCTTTAATGCCGCTTGTTTTGACATGATTTAGGATTTCTTTTTCAGTAGGATTTCTAGGGTTAGGGTCTTATAAAGAGGACTGTAACCTATACAATTATGGAGCTTTTAGTAATAATATTACAGAGATTCTCTCTTTTTTTTCTTGTGTGCAAGATTTGCTCGTTGCGACGAGTTGTTTATCTCGTTTGGACTAGTACGCTAACTAGTCTCTTGTGAATTCTGCTACGTCAGCTTCCTTTCTCCTCGTCCTTTGATTGGACAATCGGTCATCCATTCCACGCACACGAAAGGTAGCTACCGGTCGCCCTCTTCCAACCCTATGATCACACTCAAGGGAGTTAGCTACTCTCTCTTCCAACCCTTTGCCTAAGCAAAACAAAATTAACTTATACTCCACATGTTTTCTGAGAGGAATGATACATTTAATTCACACTTCCTTGACTGCCCCCAAAACAGGATCCTACTATTCTTGAAATAATTTTTTTTCCTAGCACCACAAAGACACGTGCAAACACTGATACGCCCACCTAGGGCTGTAAACGAGCCGAATCGAGCCGAATATTAGAATGTTCAGATTCGTTCATTAAATTTTTTAGCGAACTCGAGTTCAAGCCGAACTCAATAAAAAGTACGACGAGCCGAACTCGAACCGAACTTGTCTAGGTTTGGGTTGAACTCGAGCTTGTTCACGAGCTTTAACGACCCAATAATATCATATATTTATGCTCTCATACAGGTCTAAATCTACAAGTAAAAATTTTAGTATATACATAAATACGTTTATATACATATAAACTGATAAAAACGTATACATAAGTAAGTTTTTATTAATGGTAAACGTTTAGACTTGTACAAGTTTTAAAATTTTCACTATGTAACTATATAAAATCCCCATGATATACATATACTCCAGGTTCGCGAGCCTAATCGAGCCGAATACTACTATGTTCATGTTCGGTTCATTTATGAAACGAGCCTAAAATTGAGGTTCAGGTTTGGTTCGTTAAGTAGACGAATCGAATTCGAACGAGCCTTTACCGAGTCGAGTCTCGAACAGTTCACGAACGGCTCAGTTCATTTACAGCCCTACGCGGCCCACCCATTATTCCAAATCCTGTAGCTACAGGAGGGTTTGCCCGATATTTAGTTGAGGCTCTCCAACCGTACAAATCAACTACAGCTTTGCGTCACAGGTGTGTAAGGGGACGGATTAATGGATTAATCTTTTCGAGTCCCGTCCGCGCCATGGAAAGCATCAATCAGTCTTCTTCACAAGTATCAGCGTTTGGAATGATTTTGGATCATTGGTGGTTCTCTCTTTCCAGTTTGTGGGGCGCATCATGCTGCTGTTGGCGAGACAGTCGTACGTCAGATATTTGTTTAGGACACGTGGGAGCGCAAGAGCGCGGGGTAGGAGATGTGGACAGATCAAAGGGACAGATGATCCCAAGCCTGTATACCATCCGTCCACAGGCACTTTGTATACCATCCGCATTCCTTTAGGATAGAGTAGAGTAGAATAGATTTCTTGCCTCCGTCGACATTTTTATGTACCATGAAGGGCTTTCTTGATAACACGCTTTCCCATAACCTTTCTAAACCTCGAGTTTGCTAAACAACTTTTCTCGAACCAATCTGCATGAGCTCGAGTCATGTTCAGCTCGTTAGAAACTTATGCGAGATCGACTTGTTACGCGAATAAATGAAGTTTAAACACATCATGGAGATCGTCCAGGTTTCGAACCAAACTTCAATAAACTCATGGTCGGCTAGACCAAGCTATTCAAGCTGAGCTCGATTCGATTAAACCTCGTCTGAGGGTGACTCCACTTAAACAATTGCTTAACCAACGTTTAATTTTTCAAACCAAGTTTAAAAAACGTCACTAAATGACCCGAGTTTTGTGGAGACATCAAGATTATCTTCATTGAGAAGATAACTACTCCATTAATGTGGGCTTTAATCAACCAATAAGGCATACTGATACAGTCCCATAGCCCCCAGGAATGCAAATCCCAGTTACCAGAAACAAGAGCAAGTGGAGGGCCGGCCTAATGGGGAGGCCAAGAGGCCGCCGCCTTGGGCCTCCATATTTTGGGTAAAAAATGAGACACCCCTTCCTAGATTAAGTACATATATTTTCTGTATGCAACTATAATACAAACTCCTTTGATGGTTCAGTGGTAAAGTTTTTGCTCTTCCACATAAGATGCCTAGGTTTAAATCCTAGTAGGGTACTTTTTTAAAGTGTCTTTTCGCTAAAAAAAAATATTTATGTTGGGCACTATTCTACCACTTGGCCTAGAGCATCCAAATACCTTGGGCCGACCCTGCAAGTGGAGGAAGACAAAAACCTAATTAGGTAACTAGTGGACTGACAGGATTGTTCATGGGTTGACAAAATAAAACGTCACCCACTATAGCCCAAGGTTAGTTGGGATGGTTGGTGGGTTTGCTCTCTATACAATTGATGAGGGTTCGATTCTTGGGGTCAGACTGTAAGAAAGAAATTTCTTGTGAATCCCATAGGCTGTAGTCCTGGCGTACATGACCTGCCTTCGACGGGACTAGAGAGGAGATTAGTTGGATTGCGCGTAAACTAACCCGGACAACTTGATCGTCGGGAAAAAATGGGTCACCAACTATTGTCCTTACAATCAGCAGAGATAAGTGAACTGGTGGACTCTCCACTTATCATTTGTCGCCTTTCTAAAGATTTCTTAACCCCTTTTCTGTAGCTTTTTCTACTTCTGTTCACACCTACTAAGGTACATTTATACTAAATACTAGAATAATCTGGAAAAGGAAAAATCGATGAAGATCGCAATTCTTTGGAGTACTTTGTGCTCCCGCAAAATTCATGCTTAGCCTTAGAATATGCGTTGTTAACATAATATTAGAAAATATTATGTTACCATATTTTCTAATCTTTATTATTATGTTTCTTATGCTAGGCGGATTGTTATTTATGTTTCCTAATTAGTTTAGGTATCCTTGTTATGCGTATTTCCTTTATTGGTTTATTGTATCTTGGTTACCAAGTCTTTATAGTCTATATAAAGTCAATAATACATCTTTCGCTTTTCTTAACATATTAATAAGTTGGGGAGTTTTCTTATAGCTTAACGAGACCTGTATATAAGTGTAATTCATTCGTGCAAAAGACCACCTTAACTGGTAGGTGACTTGACAAATCACCTTAACTTAAGTGTTTGTTTTTCCCTACACGATCGCAGAGTCAAACTAACTTACAGTAGTAATCTGGTTATCTATAAAAAAGTCGTGTGGGAGAGAGCTTCATTCTCCTCGTCCTTTGATTGGACAATCGGTCATCCATTCCACGCACACGAAAGGTAGCTACCGGTCGCCCTCTTCCAACCCTATGATCACGCTCAGGGGACTTAGCTACTCTCTCTTCCAACCCTTTGCCCAAGCAAAACAAAACTTATACATGTTTTCTGAGAGGAATGATTCATTTAGCTTAATTCACACCTTCCTTGACTGCCCCCAAAACAGGATCCTACTATTCTTGAAATGATTTTTGTTTTTCTAGCACCACAAAGACACGCGCAAACACTTATACGCCCACCCATTATCCTGGAGCTAGAGGAGGGTTTGCCCGATCTTAAGTTGAGGTTCTCCTACTGTACAAATCGACTAGCGCTTTGCGTCACAGGTGTGTAAGGGGACGGATTAATGGATTAATCTTTTCGAGTCCCTTCCGTGCCACGGAAAGCACCAAATGCTTTTGACTGGTATTAGTCTTCTTCACAAGTATCTGCGTTTGGAATGATTTTGGATCATTGGTGGTTCTCTCTTTCCAGTTTGTGGGGGCATCATGCTGCTGCTGGCGATTTTAGTTGATACACCGTCACACTGCAGATCCAAAAGCATTTTAGAACGTTCTTTAATTAGACAATCTACACTTTGGACAAGGAAAAACTAAATATGACGCGACAAGTGACATGTCCCAGGGCCCCTCCACCGCACGGGCTCGGTGTGTGGATGGACTCTACATGATCGTGATTGTGTAGTGAAAAAGAGCCTAGGACACCGCCACATGGTGTCAAAAGGGCATTGGATAATCTCTTACCCGTATGTATGTATCGAGTTTTTATCATGTGTTAGTAATGTTAGGCATTTGAGAACCGGAGAAAACCAAGAGCGAAAGCCAGACAACTCACCCACTTACCACACATCCTCTGGTAACAGAGCCAAAAAAAAAATATTTGGGTAGCTTTGGTAACAAAGGAACAGCCTTACAACCAGGCTAGTAAATGGACCCAACTGCACAATCCAAACCTCCGAGGGAGCTAGCGCGGTCACACCAGTCACGGCCATCCACTTACTTCAGGATACTCACCAGGTGGGGAATCGAACCGCAAACCTTGAGGAGTACTCCTAAAGTCTGGGCATCCGCCCGAACTACTGGGGCAACCCCTGAGTGTGTAACAGAGCCAAAAAAACGAAATTAGCTATCCGAGTTAGACCTCATGTTCGCTTGATTATAGCTGTTCGAAATTGACTTGTCACATAAACAAAGTTCGATTATTTTTTATACTCTTATAACTTTCAGATCAAGCTTGAACAGGTTATGATGGGTGAAACATCCGAACTACTCGAGATCGATCGATTCACGCTTGGCTCAATTAAACTCGATTAAAGCTCATCTGAGATCTGATCACCAGAAAAACAAGTCTAAGCTTCAACGTATATCAAAATTCCACGATCCACTGTTCGGTGCGTTTATCAACTCTAAAATTTATCAAGCACTAAACTTTGTCCACTTACAATCACAACAGAGAGGATTTCAAAATAATATCACCTGAAACATTTCTTTCCCAATCAATCTGGTGTTGAAAAAGAGATTTGTACGACAAGCACTAGCAGAAAAGAGATTGCTGATTATAAAGATACCTAATTTCTAAGTGTACTGCTTTCAAACTAAAATGCAAAGTGAACACTAGTTAGTGGGCACAGCAATATCACTCTCATTATTATACAAAAGACAAACCAGGAAGCAAATTTACTGGGTAGTTTGATTATAAAATGCACAAAACATTCATGTGTTTATTGACCTTTTTCTGCACGTACATCTTTTTCTCAAACTTTTAACCGCGGCATTTCCGTGTCCTAAACAAGTGCTAAGATAAAGCAAAATCTCACTAAAATTTGACTTCTTCGTCATGCAAATCTTCCTTTTAGCAGGCATGATATAAAGTACGGCTTGCAGTACAATGAATTGGAAAACGAACTTCGCTTCTCCTTCCTCATGTCAGCATCACAAGAGAATAGAACCTCATCGAGATTCCAAGAAATTTCCTGATTCTTCTTTGTTCTTTCGTCGAAATTATACAGGCAAAAAAAGAATGCACTGCGTTTTTTTTCCTGGCTCTATTTAGGAGTCGTATCCTTACTGGTTATATACGTATCTCCTCCGATACTCACGCAAATGTATTCGAGGTATTTAAAATGTAAAATTTTAATTTTTTAGCATTGGAATATGGAAAAGTACAGATTTTTAACACTCTACTAACCTTTTTAGAGAGGACAATACAGTGGGCTGAAAATAGCATCATTGTTTTTTACTTATTGTATCATACACGTGTTCCATAATATTGAATTTCAACTACTAACCAAGAAAACTTGTGAACAACACTTTTGAATACGAAAAATACAACGGTTTCTAACAATACCCGTATCCTATCGTATTCGTGTCCTGTATCGGCATCCATGCTTCATAGCGAGCCGCTTATTACTAGAAATCCCAGAATTGCAGCAGAAGCCAACTTCTAATTTTTGCTTATAAAGATCACCGATTTCGCTGATGAATCTAGTGTTGACAAAGCATTTGCATGATATGGAGAACTAAAGCATTTCTTTGGAACATACCAGATTCAGTATGAATCACAAGGAAGAAAACTAGCTAGTTCTAAAATAACTCAAAAGCTACAAGACATTTGGCACAATCAGTTTCAGGAATTCCAAAGAAAATTCAAGAAACTATTGACGAAGAAGATGACAAGTTCCCTTAATAGACAGCTAATAGTGGCCTAATACGATAGATTGCACTAATAGAGGGAGGTGATCTTTCTATTAATCATCACTAGGAACAGCAATTGAGGCCTTTTTATCTTATTGCACTACACCTACTAATTATTTTCCATTTTTGACAAATTTTGAAAGTTTAGTCACATTATCGTCAATTCAGCTGCCTAAATTTGGGAGCCAATTCCGATGTCCATGGTAAGTACCATAATTGATTAGAAGACTCAAACAGACGAAATCGAAAACCTACTGATACCTGTCACAACATGACACTGAAACCATTTTACGCATCCATAAACATGACAGAATAGACAAGAATGGTGAAAGCTAATGGAGCCACGTTTATTTGGTCTCTTTACGGGGAAAGAAGTTGCTTGATCGCATTATTATGGTGGGATTATCTGAAATCCTTGTACTAGTCTAGCTTCCCTTTGCAAAGGTGTGATAGACAGCATTGGTAATACCTCAACCCACAAAAGATGTTGGTTCAACAACAAGCATCGCATTTGAGTTGTTGCGATAAGACCATTCTCCACAACTAGATGCACCCGTGCCTGGCAAGTGTGTTCTACTAGGGTCACCTAAGCTCAGTGGCAAACGCAATAAGTTTGCTAAGAGGGGCCTGGGCAAAGTGGAGGTATTCTTCTAATTACAGCAATATGATGTATCAAGTTTAATGCCAAATACGGATCACCTTAGTCGAAACACTGTATTAGATCTTTATAGCATAAAAGGTTGCAGAAGGCTTCTTGGTAATCTTATTTAATGAGGGAGGGTCAGTATAAAAATGCGTCCTTGTGGAGGGGACAATATACCAATTCTTTTCAAAATAAGTAATACCAACATCCGCATATAATATATTTTATGGTTTAACAACTTTGTGGGCCTCGTCTCCCTTAATTACACAAAGACTACAGTTTTTGGTTTTCACTTTTTTTTTAAAGTCTAAACCAATAGCTGAGTTTTTTTTTTTTTTTTTTTTGGATCAGCAATTTTTTTTATTAATCTCCGAATTCAAAAATTACAAAGATTAAAAGGACAAGGGCACAAGGAAATTAAAATTACTTAATCTCCAAAGGTACCCGAGAAAACCAATAGCTAAGTTGGCAAAAAGGCAGGGTCCACTTTGGTACTTGGGATGCAACTTCATATCTACCCACTTCCTATATGTCATGGGATGGCATGTATA